GAGAGAGAGAGAGAGAGAGAGAGAGAGAGAGAGAGAGAGAGAGAGAGAGAGATGCACACATGGCAAAGAAAATTGCCATGTGGCAACACTGATGACCAGCAGACTCCATAATCAGAGCAGGGAACAAGGTGGTCAGGTTTTTTCTCTCCTCTTTCAATTGAGCTCTGTCCGCCTGCCACCATCTCCCTCCCTCTCTCTCTCTCTCTCTCTCTCTCTCTCTCTCTCTCTCTCTCTCTCTCTCTCTCTCTCTCTCTCTCGCTCTCGCTCTCTCTCTCTCTCTGTGTTTCTCTTTCACACAGATTATCAACATGTCTGTCTCTTGCCTTCCATCTCTCCCTCTTGTACACACACACATGTGCTTCATCAGATCCCTGCTCAGGTGAATCTGCACCAGGCAGGCCAGCATGTCGTGATGGGCCTTATAGCACAGCAACGTTTTGGACACACTGTGCTAGACATTACTTCTCACAGAATGCAAGAGAGTGTTCTCAGGAGCGAACAATCGCCACAGCATGATCATTCTGGCCCATCACTTGTTCTCACAATGCAGAACATTGAACAACGAGAGGATGAAGCAGACAAAGAGAGGGGGTCCCTCTCTTTCTATTGAGCTCGGTTCATCTGTGTCTGTCTGCCTGCCTGCCTGTCTGTCTCTCCATCTGTCTGGTCTGTGTCTCTCTCTCGCTTGTCACACACACACACCTATCATAACATATGTCCTCCCACGTTGTCTCTCCCTCCCATGCACACACACAGACATGTGCCCGATAACATCTTAGCTGCAGGTGGGATTGTATCAGGTAGGTTAGCATGTAGTAATGGGCCTTGTAGAACAGCACACTTGGCTAGACTGCAATTTGCTGATTTCTATATTTATCTAGAGATTATGGACGTTGAAGTCCCCATTGAACTCAGTGATGCTTTAGGCCGTTCCTGGAAGTGATTGCAGTCAAGTTCATCCAGGTCTGGCCGTACTTGCAGTCAAATACATTTAGTAAAGTGCTGGTGTCAGTATGCCCTTATGGCAGTCTGTGTGCGATTCCAAAACCTGGGAGAGCAGTCACATCTCCGCCTATGCTTCCAGGTGGTTGAATAATGCCTGTGTGAACTCCTGATCAACAGGTCCAGGGTTCAAATCCAGACGGTTAAGTAATGTTACAGGATGCCAGCTCTCTTTGCAAGAAAACGAAAAGGAGTCGGATGTCTCACAACTTGGGGAGGGGAGGGGGGGGGGGAACTCGTTGGTGGTCTGCAGCTGCAAACGAAAGCCAGGAAACTGACGTGCCATGCAACAGCTGCAGCCACTTTCCTTCTAGAAATTGCACAGAACTCCAACCAATGGAGGCCTAATCATTCGATTACGTTGAGCATTATGGCACTCAAACTTCGAAGTTGTTTGGATGAACTATTACACTGAGCCTTATGGCGTTCAAACTTCAAAGTCGTTGGGGTGAACTCCCCAAACGGAATCCTTGAGATATTAGGACTCTGGGAAATCGATGGACTCCCCAAAAGGAAACCTTGAGATATGCAGGACTCTGGGAAATCGGAACCGCACTGTCGCTTCTGAGAGTGGAAAGGAGCCGGGGCCGTAAGGGCCCATTTTTCTAAAACAAAAAAAGGAAAAAGAAGGGAATCTGGAAAAACAAACTTCATGGGTTGGTTTGTGCAGAAACCAGGCGGTTCTCGGTTTCTGGTGAAACCATAAACAGAGCCATGAATGATGCTTCTGCTTCATTCCATCTGGTCACACTTCTGGTCACTGATCGATTCGCAATTCTGTACCTCTTTTATCACTAGCCAAGCTGCTCAAGTAATTTACAGCTTCTCACCAATTCTTTTCTTTTCACCGATGGCAGCCTAGGCAGATTATATCACTTCTGTGTCAGTTCAACTCAATTGCCAAATTGCCGAACTAATCTACAGTTTACGTCATTGAAGTTGTTTCGGATTCCCTTTGCTTGCTTAATGGATTTACATCTTGTAGAGTCCCCTCTCTACCACCATAAACAGTTGCCAATGCACGGGCCGTTCAGTCCAACGCACCGGAATATGGGTATTATTCTCTTTTTTAAACCACAAGTACACCCGGGCCTGGCGACCTTCCACTACCCACCAAGCTATGCCCAACTGCCAACAGACCCGCCAGTGATGCACCTTTTTTTTTTTTTTTGGCTGCCGCCGCCAGCCATTGTGGTTCGGTAGGCCTGAGCCTCCAAAATTTTCGTAGGTGATGAAAGATTTCTCCACAAGGCTGGGGACAGTGTACTGGCGGCTTAAGCCCGTCTGCCCGCCCACCCTGCTAGATCCTTGGCGTTAGTCTTCCTCCTTGGTGTACGCGTATGCAAGAAAAGGTACACTGTCGAGTCAGAATCACGCGAAACGTTACACATCGCATCTTAAAAATGCTCCCGAGAAGAGGTAGGAAGTCGCGGCTTCATGCTTGCCACCCCTGTCACCTCTCGTCCCACGACCAAGGCATTGATGTCGTATGTCCCCTCATAGCTGTAGATCGGTTCAATGTCTGAAAAAGCCTGCAAACAAAAGAACAATTTCATTTGCGTCATTGGAAGGCCGGAACTCTGGAAAATGTGCAATCACAAGCACTATAATCACAGCCGTGATGACCCGTCCAAACATGGACTGAAACACACGACTGATTTCTGAGTTTTGCCCATAGACTGAATGCCTTGCTGAGTTTCCCGCCTGCTACTAAGACTATGTGTGCACGCTTGCTGGTGTAACATATCAGAAAGTGAAATGCACTGAAAGCCTAGGATCTAGCAATGACGAAAGTGGCAACAACCAGCAGCATAGGTGCAACATTCACAAGGTGTCAATGTGCGCGACGCAAAGAGTGAAACAACGGGAAATCAATAACAACACATTCGTATCATCATCATCATAGGCTGGGAAGCAGCGCAGCGGAAGATCTAGTATCAAAGGACACGTGGACAACAACA